GGGGCATTTGCTTGACAGTTCTTGTTTTTTTTCCAGGCGAGTATGAATATGAAACTATATAGGTGGTTTGATTTCATGAGATGTGCATGATCTAACAACTATAACATATCTATTGCATAATATTGGATTTCATTATTATATTTGCAGGACCATGTTCTTATTGAGCTAACACAGACTGGACTTGGGAAAAGATTAAAAAAAGATGATGAGAGTTTAATTAAAGAGGATGACCCATTCCTTGTTGTACATCCAAACTATGTTGTGGACTGAGAGACCAAAAAAATGTAGAATTCACAATTCTGTATCTGTTATTACTCCAAAATGAAATTTACAAGATCTGAAACTTACGGTTTGAAATAATATTTCTTTAAACCTTTTGTAACAAAGCATTGATATTTTTTGTCAGCAAAATAGTTTCAAATTACTTTTATAATCATTGATTTATTACATAGATTAATTCTTGTTATAAATCTGTTGGGGGTAAAAAAAGAATTGTGTTGTAGTTGAATAACAAAACAGTGAGGATTTCCTTTAAAGTGCACTCGATCTATAAACTTAGCACAATCGGGTAGGGTATTGCAAGTTGCATTGTTAATTTACTTGCACACCATCTGCAATTATTTAAAAAGATTTTGTACAATATATCAGATTATGATAAATTGGATTATGCTTTGTCTTTTGTAATATATATACAATTTGCCTGTCTAAATTTTTACATATATTTTGTACATGTTCAATATATATGATGATTTTTGATATACATAAATAATCTGAGCTGGTAACGGGACCAATTTTGTACAATGTTCACCAGGATATTTTCAGTATGTGTTCAAAAAATGATGTGTTCACTTGTTACAAATTTTGTTATGTTTAAGAATATGTGTTCAAAACTAATGTGTTCAAAAAACCTTGTTATCTATAAGGGTATGTGTTCAAAGGTGATGTGTTCATCCAACTATTCTTGTTAACTATAAGGGTATGTGTTCAAAAATAATGTGTTAAATTGTAAAAAAAAAATGCTTTTTCTTTGAAAAAAAAAATATGTTTGATATCTTTTTCTTGGTACTCTATACTTCCAGTAATATATTATTGTATAAAACTTTTGTCATTTAAGTCTTTGTATTGTTTTATACAAACTTAACTGTAGAGACTTCTTTTGTTGAAAAATTATTAGAAATGATTTTGAACTTTTTAAGAAGACCCAATTAACTGTAAGTGCTTGTATGTTATAAAATATTTGTTCTGTAAATAAGTCACTATTGAGATAATTAAAAAGAAAGAAAAATAGAAATTTAGAAGAAAAAAATGGATATATTGTTTTCTTGTTTATTACATTGATAACTCGTTCTGATATCTTGAAAGCCCATATCTACCCCTTGAGCTGACATCGGCAGATTACGGGAACAGCTATGATTTAGATTTTGTTTTCCGGTCACAATAGTCAACAGCCAAATTAATTATCTGGCTTGAGGTCTAAAAAGTGTAAGTGTAAGCAGCTTCCCTTACCTTGTTTTCTTTGCATCCGCCATAAAATGGCTGACCCAGTTCCTTCTTTCAGTCATCAGTTAACGTTCATTATCTTAGCAACGGTTACACACATTCAACTCGAATTTGATGTATGGATACGTCGACAGAGATCGAATTTATATGGTTTGATGATTTCTGGCTTATTTTGAAAACATTTTTTTTTTAGTTTCCGTTCACTTCTCCCCAGTAGTTGTACACATTCAACTCAAATTTATCATATGGATATGTCCGGAAAGTGCAGGTCAAGTTCGAATCTGGCCATGGTTTATTAATTTTTGACAGAGTTATCACTCTTGAACTTTGAAAAAAAAAAGAAGAAATTTTCAGATTCCGTATCATCTCCACAATAGTTGTTCACATTCAACTCAAATTTTATATAACATATATCATAGCATATGCAGGTAAAGTTCGAATTTGGTCATAGTTCGATGATTTTTTGAAAAAAAAACCCAAAAAGAATCTGCTTCTGTTCATTATCTCGACAGTCGTACACATTCAACTCTTTGACAAATAGATATATCGTAGGAATAAGCAGGTGTATTTTAAATTTGGTCATGGTTTGATTATGTTGGGACAAAGTTATCCCTTTTAAAGGTTGGAAAAAAGTGAAAATTTCAGTTTCGCACTCGTACTTTTGTGAAAATGTATGCGTGAGGTTGAAATCGCATGTGCAGGTATTTTAACAGAAAATAAGTTAAGTTCGAATTTTTTTTTTGGTCTGATGATTTTTGACAGAGTTATCATTCTTTGACTTAGAAAAAAAAATCAGTTTGTGCTGTAACTTTAGAAGGAATATATGTGTGAGGTTGACATTGCATGTACTGGTGTTTTACCAGAAAACACAGGTCAAGTTCTAATTTTGTCATGGTCAGATCTTTTTGACAGTTATCCCCCTTGAACTTGGAAAAGATTTAAAAATTTACAATTTCTAATCATTCACTACATGCATTTTTCGAACGGTTAAACCCTGAATAGTTTCAGGGCCTTGAACTTCGTATAAACGTGGTTTGTGTTATCATTAAGAAACTTTTGGCTGCATGCGGGGGCATCCGTGGCGTGACCACACATTTCTAGTTAACTTAGATCATATTTACTTTAGATAAAATACCGATTATGTTCTGGTCCCGAAGGCATTTTGATTTTTTAGTGACAACAGGGTGTAATGTCCTAGCATGGGATGAGACTCATGGAACACTTTATGTCGGGATTAAAAATTTGTTCCACAAAAATTGGGGAAAAAATCAAGTTTATATAAGCTTCTAATTTAACTAGCCTGCTGCCGATGTCTGAGAAAACACGTGGAGACAGTTTATTGTCTCATCATTTCCCGCCTTTTCCGCGACAATCTTTCATGCGGAGATGTGTATTTTACTGATAGATCTTGTTTTTGTTTTATTTTGGGTTTTTGCGCTGGACGATTTTCTTCATTACCGAAAATAATAAAATTAAAGCAATTATTTTTTTGTGTAACTTTGCAGTTCATAATTTTCACTAAATCGTTCTTCGAGAGTTTCGGCAGTAATTCAAGTTACATGTTTATAACGAGTATCAATATATTAAGGTACGGATTTTGTTCCTTTCTCATTGGACAAGAACGAAGTTCTCCTTTGCCGTAGACTTAAGGCACATGACTTGGTTAAGTTTCTTGGAAAAGGCATATTTTATACGGTTTAATTTGAATTCTCAAACTTAGACAAGAATCATTTCTTTTTAAAGACACGTTATAGTGCTTTAAAGAGTGAAGAATGTCATTCGATCCATTGCAACGTAGATTCTTATCTTTAAAATATATGAAAACCTATATACGAGTACTTGAATGAAGTTAAATTTATTTTTATTTTGACCTCGAAACATATGTACAAATAACATAATAATAATAAATATATTGATTTTCATATACTTTTAGAAAAAAAACAATAACAACAAAACATGTTGATGGTAAGTATTGAGTGGTCTGGTAGACGGCGAAAGGTTCAAAATGACTTGTAGTATTTAATTTAGGCCAGTCGGAGTTGAACGATTCATTTCAAATCTTTTTTTGACGGCAAACCCAAATATTCAGAATAACATTACAGTTAATGGACATCTTTTTAAATGCGTACAAAGGTTTTCTTTCATTCTCACCTATGCATCACTAGAAAAACTATCAATCTAACTACATTATTGACAGTTGTTTTTTGTTCAATACATGTACATGTATGTATGTAAACTGTGGTTTAAATTGCTGTTGTTTACATGTGATTCATTTGTGTTTTTACAGTATATAAATGAGTAACTTCGATCTATTACTGAGCCCGCCCCCAGTTAGTCCCCACAAAACAACAGGAATTTAGTATGACTTCTTTTTAGTCAACGACTGAGTTGTCATACAAGTTTTAATGCCTTTCTTTTGACCCATGTGATGTATCCTAGCCTTTCCTTTAATGTTACTTTTTCATGACTGTAATTATGCGTAATGTCATTAAAATACAGTGAAATTAAACGAGATCACTTTGATAAACTTTAACGAAAAAAAAAAAAAAAAAAAAAAACAACAGCAACAAAAAACTCGGTACTATTGTCTACATAATTATGCTATAAATGCTACTACATATGCCATAAATGTAGATTTGTATACAGAAATTGTTACTGGTTTGATATTACTCCTTAAATCTCCGTGCTTGGTTAATATCAAGTACCATCAATCATTAAACTTGTCGCTAAACATGGTTTTCACTGAAATTCGGTACCAAGGTTCAATATTAGATAACTTGAAACAGTATATATTGTCTGCGGCAAATAATAAAGTAAGACAAATTACATATCGTAATTATCTCATAAAACTTCATGTTATGTGTCCTTTTTTGCAGCAAAAAAAGTGTTTACAATATCGTCAGTAGATTATCTTATCTAAATTGAATATTTAACAAGTTATTATGTATAACCAAATTGCTAATGATTATAGATAATTATTTCATGCTAATCAGTGAAGCACTGGCTTCCGCTAGTAAGATATAATTTATATCACTACTGTAACTGTCAATCAATTAGTATGAGAAAAAAGGAAAATAAAGAAAAATGGTTCATGCTCTCAAATATTTCTTACATCGAATTGATTTTTGCGTATATATGTAGTATCAAATGCACAACTCCGTGTGTTGTTGTTATTGTGTGTATAACATTTTGTGTATTTCTATATATGTACAAATGTTTGTAGCTATTTTGCCCGTCATATTCATAAGGTGTTTATTTTAAATATATAAATCTTATGTACAGCATATAATATGCAGCAAATGTAAACAAGTTGTAAGAACGCGGTATTTAACTTTTAATGTTTATAATTTGACAAGGAAATGTTGTCAAAATGTCCGTTTATTTTTCAATCGCTGTCATCCATCACCGTACATCATGTTTTAAAACTTCAATTCGGAAGCATTTTTCAAACCCTCTGGCTATTTTTTTACTGACTGACTGAGGTGACAACATAATTGGTCAAATTCTAAATGTTGAATCATTTAATACAAATTTCGAAATTTCAAATTAGTTTGATATTTAATTAGTCGATTACGTGAAATATTTTGCATGTCAAAAATTTTCTCGTAAGAAATCGAGTTGGTATTGCAAATGCATACTGCACAGAACGTACATGTTATTATTAGATAGTGCTCAGACGGTGTTATTATTTATTTCGTTTTCAAGATAAATATTTTCCGGCGTTTTCTTGTTTAAATCTGCAGGAGTTTTACAACGGTGACAGTTCTCTCGCGACTCCAAAAATCTGTATCACTTATGGGAGTGTGTTATTATTAATCACGAGTGGGGAAAAAGCGTTTTTTATGGTCAATTATTCATAGCTGATTAGCCTTTCCCTCATAAGAAACAAAAATAAGCGTCATTTGAACGGTCAAATGATTTAGTACGTGTAAATAATATGGATGTTCCCAGCGTGTGTATTGATACATTCATTACAAGAACGCTGAAACGTAACAAAGGAAGTGACTGAAACTTACATCATAAATTGCCGTTTTTTGACTTCTGCTGTAACAAACATGTCGTCTGCTGGGACTAGATGTTCATCAATGTTTGGAATTATTATATTCATATTATTTTTTGTTGGTAAGTATGAATTATACTTTTGATCGGTAAATGTATTTTTTTTTGCAAACGAACGCGGAAAAAAATATTTATAAAGCGAAAACTGTTAAACAAAAGAAAATATGTATAGTTTGTATGATGACATACATTGTATATTTAAATGAAATAATTTTATTTAACACAACTCTTTAAAAATGTTCATGAGTATGTATGTTTAATTTGTATTTCTTAACTTATTTTTTTTTAATATTATGGCAAACTTCGAATTGAAATATCATTTTATATGTGGTCGGAAATTTACGGATTGTATTAACGATTTAATTACTCGGAAAAGATTATCTCAATTTGCTGTTCCAAGGGTTTTGATAAGAAATTTGTAACAGCATGCTAGAACTACTAAAATACTTCTCCTTTAAACAAATTACAAACTAACCAGTCATATGATAGACAAAATGAATGGAAGGTCAGAAAAACTAATTTCGAAAATGTCAAAAGAAATAAGTACATATGTTACGATTGATGCATCGGTTTGGTAAGTGGTGTATTTTTAGCATTTCTTTGAAATATTATGCGCTTTTCCCCCCGAATTTTCTTTTTTTTGAGTGTTAATGGGACATGTACATGTATCTTTAAGAATCCTCCGAGAAAATATCTTAAATTGCGTATCCTGGAGCAATTACAGTCAAATCTGTCTGGAGAGTTGTTAAAATTATATATGGTCGCTCAGCAAGATTTATTTGCACTAGGAGTTTTTAAGTAGGAAATAAAAGAGCGCTTTTGAGACTTGCATTCTTTATTACAGTCCTGACTTATATTTTTGGTATTAAGCGGCAGTTGAACTGTATTAAAGTGGCTACAGTATATATTCAAAATAAACTCCGAAGAAGAAAAAGTTTATGTCGTGGGATGTCAAAATTTGCAGATAATAGCTAAAAGTGTGCAGTTTGAATGCAAATAAACTAAATACTGTACAGATATAAATATATATCCATAAATATATGCAGGGATTGTTTGACGGCAAAGGTAAAAGTACGGTGTAATTAGTAATAAATCAGGGTGTGGATTTTTATGGGAAAAGTGGCCTTGACCAAAATGCTACACAACAAAAATCGTCTACAACAGGGTCTTTCATATAGAAGATTTAAAGATTTTTTAAAGAAAAAAAAATCAATTTTTGCTCCTGTATTTAATTTTAGCCCTTTTCTTGAACACTTACATAATTTGCGCATAGCAAACTATACCGAGTTAATACGAGACATTTTAATTGTAGCGAGAAGGGTTTACAAAGCGTGTTTCCAGACCATTCTATTTGAAAGACCCTCTCTATTTGTACTTCTTATCACAATCATAAATAGTATGTTTAAAAATCTTATAAAAAAACTTTTCGCTATGTTTATTCAAAACATGACATCTTTCTTTTAGGCAGTTATGCTGATATAAGCTTTGTATTGTCTCGGAACGAGGGAACATGGCAGCAGGCATCAACTTCTTGTAAAAGTATACGTGGTTCCCTCGCCATATTAGACAATGTTCAATTACAACAAGCTTTTGACAGAGATATTCAACCAGCCCCGGGGGAGAGCGTCTGGGTAGGACGCTATATCGGCTATTCACAAACGGTAACCATAGATGGTAAGACACTTAATTAAAGATTTATACGGAGTAAAACCCATAATTGTTATATCAGTATAGACTGCACAGATTTAAAAGATAGTGAAAGGGAATGTATAAAAATAGCTACTTACAAAAAGTGTGGTCTCTTATAGGGGGCGGGGAAATGAGATCTAGCTAATTCATATGAGCCGAATAATGTATTTTTGTAGACGGTCAGCATAGATGTTAAGAGACATGTACATGTATATGTATTTTAGTTGTAATATTGCTAATATTTGTAATTTGAAGAAAAAGTGAAATTAAAGTTATTTAAATTGCTATTGGAAGTGGTGTGTAAAACAATGCACTAAATAAATGCTGAAACACATGGTGAAAGGCAAACTCACGGTAATGCCATCTTTCTAATATGAACTGTATAACATAATTGGGCTTTCATTTAAAGTTAGTACTATTTCTGATTATCATACCGGTTTACGCAGTAATTTGATATATTTTGTTTAAAAGATGATTTTTTATATGTTTAGTCATTCAAGTATAGTTTTGGACTGTCAATTTGACTGTAAAATTTACGCCCCCGGTTATTTAGTCAGAGAACATTTCATCGCCCACGTCTTTCACTGATATTGGTACTATAAAAAGGATAAAATTCTTATCATCTTATAAAAGACAAGGGTGGTGTTGATTGTTCAGCCAAGTACATTATATGATTAGGCCGAATACACAATTTTGTGTTTAGGGCCACAGTTTCAAATTAGTTGTTAATTTTTAGAAATTTAAATCCAGTTTGAAGAAAAAGTATTTCACAGGAAAAGATCGTCGGTAAAAATTTATGGGTTTACGGAATTTCTCCAGGTAGGATTGGGTCGCTCGAACTATTTATGTCCCCTGCTTTAATTTAAACTTAATTTAGAAAATATTTTACAACTTATAAGAAACTATTTATCCAAAGGGCAGCTGTCAAATTTTGTTTATGACGTACGGCTAACCACTATATATCTCCAGGCGTAGATTGAACGGAGTGAATTAAAAACAAATAACCTAATGTGAACTGTCACGATATCTTTACAATGAGCGAAAACAAACACATTGATGTAGTGCCTTTGTAGGAAATTGCATAGACCCGACCAATATTGCCCAGTATACAATAATGACAAAAAAAATATTGTAATTTTCTGAAAGTGTGTAAATTGATGTTTGTTTCCATTTTAGGTTGCTATAGAAACATGAGTCTCGTCGTTAAAAGAAGCAAAATATTGGTGAATAATTATTTAGTCACGTGCCTACGAGAATGTCAGGATACTGCGTACATAGGTTTGCAGGTAAAAAATAATAGAAACATATAAATACAAAAAAATAAATAATGATACTTCAAAGACATCTAAAAAGCATACAGCAATTTTTATAACGACCCAATTATGCGTTCATTAATCGCCACTAATGAGAGATCCAAATAAACACAATACTTAATTACCCAACGACATTGTCCTAATAACATAACAACGGTTTCTTAATCGAGAATTTCTGTTTCTTTCCGTTGTCAGCCGAATATAAATATCGTACAATGTAAACAGTATTTGTATAAAAAACAGGTCAAAATAGGACAAAATAGTTGACAAAAACCCTTACACAAATGAGGTTGACATTTCTGCTTCTTTATCATATTTGTTTTAGGATTTTTTACATATTTTTTCTATATTTAATACAATTGTGCTTGTACTGTTTGTTACTCCTGACCTAATTTTCATATATTACAAATGTCAGTATGAACTATGTCTATTTGTTGGATAAAATCTGAATGAAATTGTTGTTTGGCGTAACTATTAGTCACTTGTTCCCGGCCTACCTGACACGTACCTTTAATTAATAATGGTCTGAAAATTTAAAGAACAAGGTAACAATGTTTCTTTAAAATGTTTGCAGTATATCAAATATATACTCGCAAATTCCTAATAAACACGAAAAATAAATGTTTAATTTTTTTCAAAAGCTTTTTATTTTTGGTGCCATTTTACAGTTTCGAAAACAGTACTCTTGCGCAATAAAGCTGAATCGTCATTTGCTTGTATAGCATTTTGTATGTAATTTACAAATTGCACTTAATTTGTGTATGTACTTTCCCAATTAGAATAATGCAGTTGCTCTCAAAAGAGATATGAATAATTAATTATTAAAGATGGTTGATTAGATATTTACAGCATAGTTTATGTCCCCATTGAATCTTTTGTCTGGCATACTTGTGTAATTTGGGAATATATCGTCGAATATATCGCAGTTGAACCGATAAAATTCGGACTTTGTCTAGCATTGCTTGGTTTTTGTTTTAGGTATATGTTATTAAAAAACGGTACTCCTTTGTAAACAGACTGTATATATCTAGCAAAATCTACATTTATTTGAATAGGGCCAGTTTTGTTACTGCGTTGACAACATTCCGCAACAAGCGGTTTCAGTGCCAGGTGTCTATTGCAGACGACCGTGTCCCGGTGAAACCTTGGATAATTCCGGGTCACAAATGTCCTGGTGCGGAAGTCAAGAACCCCAGTTTAATACGGTTTCAATGTATAGAAGATGTAAGTGGTTTATTCTTTTTTTTTTAATTTTTATTGTCTGTTAATGGGGTAAATAGCGCAATATTGTCAACAGGTATACATTTTGTACTTCCGGTTTCTGTCCTTACGCAAAGGGTCGAAAAGTTGGGTATGTCTGAGCTTCATTTAGGACCCCAAAAGATTGAATAAGAATGAATATATAATACATACAGGAACATAAAATCATTTGTGAACAGATGCATGAGGATACTGTACATGTATATTTGTGCTTGTATTGTGTTGACATATGAATGTCACATGGAATGCTATATCATACCGGCCCGATTGAATACAACTTCACCTTAACAAGTTTAAGGTTCATGATGCCTCATTAATGCTCAAAAACTTATCATTTTTGGAATCTTGTTACAGTTTCTAAAAAAAACATGCTCATTTGCCAAACTCATGAAATATCATTTGCTTCTTTTGCTATGTTTGCAATTATTATAATCATAGTGAATAAGTATTTTGTATGGACGTCAAAATACTAATTTGTTCACAATTTGCTACCTTTACTGCACATTGAGCGCTACTTTCGATCTAACATGCTCTAAATCTATTACATTATTAAACACATGTTTAACATTATAAAAAAATGGAATTCTGAAGCATAATGTGCCTTTAAGGCTTAAGCAATACATCCAACCAGAATCACACCTCATGCACTATTCCCTATATAGTTATTCGAGAATTATTTTGTTTTGCAGTGAAACCAGGAGAAATTCAACTGGATATGAATGCCCCTAATCAAGGAGAATGCATTGCATACAATGCCAAGGCAGACAAATGGCTTCCACTAGATTGCAATCAGCCGAAGTTGTTCACATGCGATAGGTGTAAGTACCTACATCATTGGTAATAATTATTGTAGCCGTTAACTTTTTAAATTCCATGATTTCCACCCTAAGTAGAGAGAAACACAAGATGTTCCTTTGGGCATTATTTTAAATTATTTGACCGAGCATTTTAACTGTTTGATATAATTAATACTGCAATGTTTCTAAAAAAAGCAAGTCAATGTGTATATTTAACGTATACGTATGTAAAATAATATTGCATTGATAATAGATTGTAGTTTCATACTATTAAACTTCCGTCGACGACTGCCTATAAAAGTGGGATAAATAAGCTATACATGTATAATTTTATATCGCATACTAATACACGTATAACAATCCATACTTCATCATTTAATCTGATGTTTTTCGATGATTTTAAGACACGCTACTCGTCACTGAACCATTATTATATTTGGCTGAATTTGATACCATATAATTTATTTGATAAACAATGATGCTTTGCTAAGACATTTTGATCATCATTTCAGTGCAATGCACCGCACCCCCAAACATGTGTGTTCTAGAAAGTAATGCGCTGAACACGTGGTACCAGGCACGCATACAATGCGAAGGAACTACCAGTCGTTTAGCGACCGTGAATCGGACAACCAACAATTACTTCAAACAGAAAGTTATGTTTAACGATCCAGTTTACTGGACCGCTTTTCATAGAAAACAAGTTATCGTTTGGAGTTATGGTAGGTCATATAAATACACTTCCTTTAACTATGTCACAGAGTAACGGAATGAATGGCATGTCCTTTGCTTGGAAACCAACATCCTTTTTCAGGGCTACCTTCTTTTCATGTTGTCTCAGGTTATTGTACATTTAGATTCTCATTGGCCGCCATTCAGTGACCTTCTTTTGGTTCAAAATTAATCTTTGGCTAGTACCCCATGGAATATACATGGAAGTAAATTATCATCACTTTATGTTTCGAAATTAACCCTTTAATGTCAGTACTCGACAACGAAAGCTGAATTTAGTGTAGATGGACGGACCTCATTTCGCATAGACTACAGACACACAAGTCATTATGAATTTGAAAATTAAATTGTTATAGGACCACCGTTTTGTAACTGTTGCATGTATACCCTTATAAAAAGGAAAATTATTGAAGATATCGAATGATCGTTAATACTGAATACTGAGATGTAGTTGCAAACCATTTTTAGCTCGACTATTCGATAAGAATAAGTAGAGCTATTGCAGTCACCCGAGCGTCGGCGTCGGCGTCTGCGTCGGCGTCGGCGTAACCACTTATGTTGAAGTTTTGTAATAGTTCAAATATTTTCAAAGTCCATTGACATATGGCTTTGAAACTGTGCACACTTGTTCACCATCATAACCCAAACCTGTAGACAGGAGGAGGTAACTCTATCAAGCATTTTGACAGAATAATGCCCCTTTTTCGACTTAGAATTTATGTTAAAGTTTTTGTAATAGTTCAAATATTTTCCAAGTCCATTGACATATGGCTTTGAAACTTTGCACACTTGTTCACCATCATTACCCCAACCTGTAAACAGAAGGAGGTAACTGTATCAAGCATTTTTTTTTACTATCAAGCACTAAGAATAGTCGAGCGTTGCTGTCCTACCGACAGCTCTTGTTATGGTACAGTATTCTAAAACACCCTTAGAATTTCTGGCAGTTCATATACTCGCACATATAGTAATCAAACTTCGTATGAGCCTACTACAAATCATCATGGATGGAAGAACTTATAAATACATATATTTCATTACTTTAATTGGGTTTTAAAGGATATGTATCATAAATTTGAAATTTTTATAATGAACTTGCAAATGACACGGAAAATACATGTTTTATCTTTAATCATTTTAGACTCCAGTCCCAAAGACATTGAACAATCAGACAGATGTTTCGCAGCTATAAAACAAAATGGTAAATGGCAACTAGTTGTTGATTGGTGCAAAAAGGCACACAAGTACGCATGCGTACAAGGTAAGTTTATTTTTAGAACGTGAAATAAAAAAACGTTGTTTTTTTGCTCAACATAAGTGATCCAGACTCGAAAGGGAGCCAAATTAGTCCATTGTGTTATGTACGAGTACGTTATTTGTATGCATCCACAAAACCTCGACAACATGCATTATTAAGTATAATCGACTTTACGTATGGCGGTAACAATACTGGCCAATAAAATGGTTAATTTCTGTATACCAGGGTCTATTTGAAAGACCCTGGGTATACACATGGATGCATTCTAAATCAAAGCAGATGATAGGCATTTTGTCATTACTATAAAATTTAATAATTTAGATCGTTTATTGTTCTGTAACAGTGATCTTTGTTTTTTCCAGAAAAACAATCTACGCCTTCACCAACAACCCCGATGTCGACCATATCGCCACAACAAACCACGCCGAGGGTAACACGACCGGCTACACAGCCTACATCTGCGGGATCAACATCTGAAACTCTCCCAACTGTCGATCCATTTGCCACGCCTCTCAGTGTAACGGCATCTGCAGGAAACAATTTCATGCGGCTAACGAATTTAATGTCTATTGTTGTTGTACAGTTTGTTGCATTTTATCTAAATATTCGTTATTTCAACATATTTTGATCCATTAAACTTTTATGTCTCATCTCTTTAGAAGCAAAATATGACCAGTTGTGTATTATATGATAATTTATTTTTGTTAATAGATCTACATGTACTTATATCTAATATAAACATTGTGTACATGACTATTGTATGTGTGTAAATGTTGACAAATGTATATAAAATATGTATATATTGTGCTATATGATCTGTGTTAGATTGCAGATTTCTTGTGTGTCAAAATAAATATAATTTATTGTAACCTTTGTGCTCATTGTTAAAAACCAATCACAAAATAAATCTCGACAGTTCGACAAAATAGGAGTACGAGAAAATCATACAATAAATGCTTATCTCGATTTATTTCCCATAAAGTGCTGGTAAGTTTACATTAGATACGTTTTATTGCAATTCATAATGTTCATGCAGATTCACATTGCTGCATGTATAAAACCTACACCGCGAGAACACGACTGACTGAACTTGCCACCTGAAAACTACCAATTTCCCATAAAAGAACAGCTTATTTAACAAAGGTTTGATTTTGAATTGCGTTGCATTGACTGTATTTACTAACTAGTCTTTACCAGTTACTATATCATATATATGCTGTTCCCCTCATTATATATACTACCGAACAGTAAAACGGTCATACTGCGTAGTATTTATGTTGTATTTATGTTGTATTTAATTACAATGTCAATGAAAACATCATAACTGTATATAACAGTACAACTTTCTTTGATTTATATTATGATTTTATCAATTGGTCAAGCAAAACATACTTTATATAGGGACTTCACTGGGTATTTTGACGTGACGGGACTGGAAATAGTTTTCTGTGATTTGTGTACCAATCAATGTAGGTTTGGACCAACAACTTGTATTTTTGGAAAATGATACCCCACTTTCCCTTTATAAAAATAAAACCACTCAAATCCGGCTATGGATCACACAAAAAATCGATTTTGTATTTAATTCAGAGTATATTTCTTAATTATCCTTAGCACATTTTTTTAAAAGTTCTTTAACTTCATTTTAGTAAGTTTTGAAAGTTTAGGTTTTAGGCCTTTGTACCTAAGCAGAGTGCCTTTAAGTACGTATACATAATCAACACGATTTCATCTGGTAATGGCATATTTTGTATTCTGTTTGCTAAAAATTTCCATGTAAGACAAATAGAAGAGATGCTGTTTATTAATACTGTTGAGAAATAAGGCACAATTTTTGAAGTTATATAGACTAGTATGGAAAGCCATGGCTGTCTATTGTTCTTTTTCAATTTATTTAACCATTTGGATAATATATAAGTTCACTTCGGCTATATGAATTGAAAAACACCTTATTTAACCGGAATCCATTATATTAAACCACACTATATTGAACCATGCCGCTAGTGTATGAAACCAAGGTAGCAATATATAAGTTGATTGTCCCAATATATATATTACTAATCTTTTTTTTATCTAACTAATCAAAGCGTTTGTTCATGTCCTCTACATGTAATTGTATGAAATCATTGTGTTTCATTATCTTTCCATTGACCATTTATGTATTAAGAGCTGATTTTATTCATATTTCTTTGATTTACGCCAGAAATTGTTGATCTTTATTTATTTAATTATCCTTTACAGGCATAAGCAGCCATTCTTACACTGCAGGACCACACGACACTATGTCACAGAGGGAAGGAAACAAACCCATGCAACTACTAATACCAAAGGATCTCATTGTCTGTAAAAATTGTAAAAAAGATACATGTCTCATCCTTTGCTCATTTTGTGGGGGTGGACGGGGATTTATATTTGCCCTTGTTCGTGCGTTCTCAATTGGTGTCAAGCGTAGCTCAAAAAGTATTTGATCTTTTCATGAAATTTTACAGGAATGTTGGTCAGCATATGTAGCTGTGTACCTGGGGTTTGCCTCTTGATATATTCAGTATATATGTAGTGTAATTGCTCTTGAATTAGTAAAAAATTGAAATTTTCAACTCGTGTCGCGCGTAGGTCAAAAAGTATTTGACCTGGAGCCACAAAACTATAGAAATGAGGCTGTGCACATAACTTGTAGAGCAATTGCCTTTGACAATTCCAAAATGTTGTGTCATGTATACCTCTTAAGGTGCTTTATCCGAAATCAACAAACTTTACAGGAATGTTCGTAAGCATGTGAAGCTATCGTAAGCATGTAAAGATTTTGAGTGCGGATTGTATCAGTTTTGTTAGATCTAATTGTCCTTCACTTAGTATAAATTTGCAATTTTTAATTCGCTCAAAATGTATTTGACCTGGAGTCCTAAATGTTTACAGTAATGTTGGTCAGCATGTGCAGTTATGCACTCGCTTGTGGATTTATTCAGTATTTGTCCTTGACTTAGTAAACGATTTGCAATTTTCAAGTTTGGTCGCGCGTAGCCCAAAAAATATTTGACCTAGAGTTAGTATATTGACAAAACAGTGGAGTGTCCTATGCTCCATTTTTGTGTGTAAATGTTAGAAATTACTGTCCATTTTAAAGCCTGTTTAAATGATTAATGTCGCGGAAAACATGGAGTTTGATCAAATATAAGACAAGTAGATGTATTTATATGAAAGCGTGAGATGTCATTACGGAACATGAAAACCTATATGACTAAGAACACAGTGGAATTGCTTGCAAAAAAACTCTTTATGAATACAGCATTTTAAACATTCATTGACTTTACAAATGATACTTGAGAAAAGCAAGTTGAAAACAATTTCTAGATGAAAAGAAAATGTTTGATTTCCGTAACCGGATACAAGTCATATGACTTCTATTTGTTGCTGGTTCTATAAGTCTTATCCGTGATGGATAGAAGATACCGGATATGACTCGAATACATGCATATATTTCATATTTTCTTTAACTAAACGCGACACAACTCATAGATACATGTAACTGAATATACAAAAACTGTCAATTCTATTGGTAATTAAAACAAGAGGGCCATGTTTCAATATGTTAAGTTTTAACTACACACATATAATGAAAAACAACGATCTACCGCTTTTATTTGAACAAACTTGGTAGACACCCATAAGAAGATGTTTCATGCGAAACCTAAAAGCTCTAGCTCATTGGTTTTTTTTTAAAAGAAGATTTTTAAGTTTTTACTATACACATATAGTTAAAACCAATGACACCCCTGGGGCGGGGCCAATTTTGACCCCAGGGCTTTTATTTGAACAAGCTTTGTAGACAATTACTAGAAGATGTTTCATGCTTAATATCTAAACTTTAGCTATTTGGGTTTTTTCAAAGAAGATTTTTAAGTTTTTGCTTTACAAATATAAGGAAAATCAATAACAACCGGGCCGGCCAATTTTGACCCCAGGGCTTTTATTTGAACAAACTTTGTAAACACCGATTAGAACATGTTTCATGCTAAATATCTTAGCTCTAGCTCTTTGGGTTCTTTAAAAGAAGATTATTAAAGTTTTTACTATATGCATATAGGGAAAATAAATGACCCCCCGGGGCAGGGCCAATTTTGACCCCAGGGCTTTTATTTGAACAAACTTTGTAGACAATTACTAGAAGATGTTTCATGCTTAATATCTAAACTTTAGCTATTTGGGTTTTTTCAAAGAAGATTTTTAAGTTTTTGCTATACAAATATAAGAAAAATCAATAACACCCGGGGCAGGCCAATTTTGACCCCAGGGCTTTTATTTGAACAAACTTTGTAAACAGCCATTAGAACATGTTTCATGCTAAATATCTTAGCTCTAGCTCTTTGGGTTCTTTAAAAGAAGATTATTAAAGTTTTTACTATATGCATATAGGGAAAATCAATGACCCCCAGGGGCAGGGCCAATTTTGACCCCAGGGCTTTTATTTGAACAAACTTGGTAGACACCAATTAGAACATGTTTCATGCTAAATATCTTAGCTCTAGCTTTTTGGGTTCTTTAAAAGAAAATTATTAAAGTTTTTACTATATACATATAAGGAAAATCAATGACCCCCTAGGGCGGGGCCAATTTTGACCCCAGGGCTTTTATTTGAACAAACTTGGTAGACACTCATTAGAAGATGTTTCATGCTAAATATCTCAGCTCTAGCTCTTTGGGTTCTTTTAAAGAAGATTTTTTAAGTTTTTACTATATACATATAGGGAAAATCAATGACCCCCTTGGGCGGGGCCAATTTTGACCCCAGGGCTTTTATTTGAACAAACTTGGTAGACACTCATTAAAAGATGTTTCATGCCAAATATCTAAGCTCATGCTCTTAGGGTTTTTTAAAAGAAGATATTTAAAGTTTTCTTTTTCGGTTGCCATGGCAACCAGAGTTCTGCATGGAATTAAATTCTTTGAACAATTTTTAAAGGTGACCACCAAAGGAACATTCCTGTGAAGTTTGGATGAAATTGGCTTAGTGGTTTATGAGGAGATGTCATTTAAAACAAGCAATTATCATAGTATTGCAAGCAATCCATAGGTCCCCTACCGGTAAGAGCCCAAGCAACATTCTGAAAGGCAATTGGCCATTCACTTATGTTTCTATTTTAAGTAAATTTGTTGATAAAGTTCTTTAAAAGAGATCACAGTGAACAGACAGACAAACGGACTGAAGGACAGTCTAAAGTTATTTTCTAAACATCCCTATTATCAAAATATAACATTTTAAAAGCAAAATTTAAAAAAAAAGGAGATAACGATGTCATACATGATGTGAGTGTAACAAAGAACAATTAGTAATGAAGGTATGAATATTTATTTTGAAATTGAAGTAAATGAAAGTTAAAAGAACAAATAGGAAAAATTAAAAGTTTAAGGAGGAGATAATTCTGGAAATATGGATGCTAGATTTATAAACCTTGTCATATTATAATGATGTGGGAGTTTGAAGAAAATTCTATCATGATTGAAGAAGTTGGAGTAAAAATTACCAATTTCTCAAAAAAAAGTCTAAGTTCAAAAGGGGCATAATTCTGGAAATAGTCTTGCTAGAGCATTGAACACTCACAAATGTTGAGTGATAATAAGAAACATTTATATGAAGTTTGAAGTAGATACGTTCAGAAAAAAAGAAGTTATTAAAAAAAACAATGTTTTTTTTTCATGAAAATTTTAAGTTCAAGGGAGGTAATTCTGATAAATTTTGTGCTAGAGTTGTAAACTTTGTCACATATGATGTGGTTGATGACTAGCAACTTATTTTTAAAGTTTGAAGAAAATACCTTAAGAAATAAAGAACTTATAGTGAAAAAACTTAAAAACTAGAATCAGAAATCTTGAAATTCAGTCTACTTGTTGCCATAGCAACCAGAATTTTCAACACAGGAAGATAAGAAAAGGATGTGCATAATTTCCATACTGCCATCTACCCGTATGTCAAGTTTCATAAAAACATTTTCAATACTTTTTGCATTATCACTGGATCCAGGTTATGTGTCAAATCTGCCATATTTTCAGTCTATTTGTTGCCATAGCAACCAGAATTTTCAGCATAGGAAAAAAAGAAAATGATGTGCATAATCTGCATACTGCCATCTATCCATATATCAAGTTTCATAAAAAAACTTTCAGTAATTTTTGAGTTATCGCGGGATCCAGGTTATGTGTAAAATTTGCCATATTTTCAGTCTATTTGTTGCCATAGCAACCAGAATTTTCAACATAGGAAGAAAAGAAAAAGACGTGGATAATCTCCATACTGCCATCTATCCACACAGACATTTGGGGTTTGGAGCTCAAAACGCCTTTAAAATCCAAATAAAATGCATATTTGTCAATCCCAGCACATGTACTGATCATATACATGTATATCAAAAAATCTTAATATATGCCGTTTTGAAAAAAAATCATATTTCAACAACTATAATTATCATAGATGTTGAAATATGAAATTTTTCAAAACAGCTTATATTAAGTTTTTTTGATATATATGATCAGTACATGTGCTGGGCATGTGACAAATATGCATTTTATTTGGATTTTTAAGGCGTTTTGAGCTCCAAACCCCAAATGTCTGTGTCTATCCATATACCAAGTTTCATTAGAATATTTTCAGTACTTTTTGTTTATGGGGGAATCCTTTTGTGGACGGGATGCCCGGAGGACAGACAGAGGGAGGGGGGTAAAAAAAAGTTCCCCCCGGGTAGCCCTTGGGGGGACAAAATAAAAATTTTTAGGGAAAGGTGAAGACGGCGGAAAAAACAAACCCCGGAAAAAAGGTCAAAAAAGCTTACCCTGTCATTTTGTAAAGGGACTTAAAAAAGAGCTGTCACGGGAGACACGAAGTCAAACAATAAAAAAACGGAAAACTTTAAGGGAAAGGAAAAAACTAGGGAAAAAAAAAATCCATTATGTATAAAATTTTAAGTTAAAAAAAAACTTAAATTCCAAATAAAGGGAAAAAATTTAAAAATAGCTTGCGGGAGTTAGGGACCTTGTCAAAACCAACTTTTTGTGTAAGAAAAGAAAATATATTTGAAGTTTAAAAGAAACCCCCTTTAAAATTTGTGAAATAAATAAAAAATAATTTTTAAAGTCTGAAGTAAAAATTATTAAATTTTTTAAGGTATCTTTTAAACTTAAATATATATTTTTATTTTACAAAAAGTTTTGGGGAATTTTTAAATAAAAAGTAAAAAAGGGTTAATTTTTCCCTTAAAAAAAACCCTAAGTTCAAAAAAACAGATAAATTTAAAAAATTGTTCAAAGTTTTTAAAAAATTGCCCCAAAAAAAATGAAAATTGATAAAGGAAAGTTTTGAAGTTTGAGGGTAAAATTTTTAAAAAAAAAAACAAAAACCTTAAACCCGGGTAAATCCCCCCCAAAAAGGTTTCGGAACCACGGGAAAGTGTAAAAAAAATGAAAAAGGGCAAAAAACCCCAAAAATTAAACCCCGGGCTTTTTTTGGGTTTTTAACCCTTGCAGTTCAACCCAAATTAAATTTTTAGCTATTTTTTAAAGGGTTTCATGTTGAAATTTTAAATAGTTTTAAAGTAATGCCCAGGACAAAAGTAAAAAGGTAAAAAAAAAGGGGAATTTATTAAAATGGAAGGCAAATAATGATTTTTAAGGGAAATGTTCCCCCCAAAGGGAAAACCTATTTTCTACAAATTTTCATTTTTGATATCTTTTATAATTTTAGAGTAATGCCCCAAAAAATTTTAAAAATGTAAAATTTTAAAAAAGGGCAATAACCCCAAAAAAGTAGGAAGACGGGTTTTTAAGTTCTGTGCACTCAATTTAAACCCAAATAGGTCAAACTACCCTTAAAAAAATTTTTTTAAATGTTGTTTAATCTCTTATATTTAGATTTATTTTCCGAAAATTTAAAAGGGAAAAAATAAAAAAGGGGGGTAATTAAAAAAAAAAAACAAGGCAGATTAAAATTTTTTTTCACTGAAAACCCCTTAAAAAGGGAGATTTTATTTTCCCTAAAATTTTTATGTTGAATTTTATAATTAAATTATTCCGGAAAAATTTAAAAGTGAAAAATAAAAAAGGGGGGGAAAATTAAAATTTTAGGAAAGGGCAGATTTAGGGGGTTCTTGTCCCGCACCCCTATAAAATGAATTTTTAACAAAAGTTTCTTTGATATTTATATTTTTAGATTTTTTGTCCCAGAAAAATTTTAAAGTAAAAAATAAAAAAAGGGGGGGATAATTAAAAAATTTGGGAAAGGTCCAAATTACTTTTTCTTGTGCATGAAAATACTCAATAAAATTATCTCCCTTTTAACAAATTTCATTTAACCCTTTATTTTTTAAGAATTTTTCCCGGGACAAGTTAAAAGTTTTAAAAAAAAAAAAAGGGGGGAAAATTTTAAAAAAAGGAAAAGGCAAGTACGGTTCTTGTTCACTGCACTTTTACTCAATGAGATCTATCTACCTACAAAGTTTTCATGTTGATATCTCTTAATTACATTAAGAGTTATGTCCCGGAAAAATTTCAAAGTGAAAATAAACAAAGGGGGGTAATATCAAAAATTAGGGCAAGGCAGAGTTTACGGTTCTTGTGCACTGCACACCTACTCAATGAGATCTGAATCTACCTACAAAGTTTCATGTTGATAACCTCTTATACTTTTAGAGTTATGTCCCGGACAAAGTTCAAAGTGTAAAATAAACAAAGGGGGATAATTCAAAAATTAGGCAAGGCAGAGTTACGGTCTTGTGCACTGCACTTCTACTCAATGAGATCTAAATCTACCTACAAAGTTTCATTTGATACCTCTTTATACTTTTAGAGTTATGTCCCGGACAAAGTTCAAAGTGTAAAAATAAACAAAGGGGAATAATTTCAAAAATTAGGCAAGGCAGAGTACGGTTCTTGTGCACTGCACACCTACTCAATGAGATCTATCTAACCCTACAAAGTTCATTTGATACCTCTTGTTGTTTCAAAGTTATGTCCCGGACAAGAAAAGGGGACGGACGGACGGAAAGACGGACGGACGGACGGACAAGGCGGCGACTATATGCTCCCCCGAAATTTTTTCGGGGAGCATAAAAAGTTATAATAAAAAATTACATTTTTCTAGTAAAAAAATCTAAGTTTATGGAGAGATAATTCTTGCAATATTGATGCTAGAGTTATGAACCTTGTCACATAAGATGTGGATGGTGATAACGTAAATATATTTGAAGTATGAAGTTGATCCCTTTAGACATAAATAAGTAATAGTAAAAAAAAAAATATTTTTTATGGAAAATTCTTAGTTCAAAGGGAGATTTATCTAAAAATATTGGTGCTAGAGTTATGAACCTTGTCACATAAGATGGGGATGATGATAACGTAAATATATTTGAAGTATGAGGTTGATCCCTTAAGAAATAAAGAAGAAACAGTAAGAAATAGTATTTTTTGAGGAAAATTCTAAGTTCAAGGGGAGATAAATCTGAAAATATTGGTGCTAGAGTTATGAACCTTGTCACATAAGATGGGGATGATGATAAGGTACATATATTTGAAGTATGAGGTTGATCCCTTAAGAAATAAAGAGGTAACAGTAAAAAATAGTATTTTTTAAGGAAAATTCTAAGTTCAAGGGGAGATAAATCTGAAAATATTGGTGCTAGAGTTATGAACATTGTCACATAAGATGTGGTTGATGATAAGGAACATATATTTGAAGTTTGAAGTTGATACCTTAAGAAATGACAAAGTTATAGTGAAAAATATTTTACTGCACCAAAACTTTAATCTTAAATCTGGACGCGGACGCCGATGCCGGGCGAGTAGGACAGCTTTCCATATACTTCGTATAGTCGAGCTAAAAATATATGACTTCCATTTGTTGCACATTCTTCAGGTCTAAAACTCATTTCCGTGGTGGACAGAAGATACAGAATATAACTCAGCATAAATCAATACATGTATATATTTTATATAAAATTTTCTTTTTCTAAACGCCTAACAGGGTACAAATAATTGAACTTTTTTCTATTCTTAACGCTTGCTCCATCAACAGTTTATTTTTTATTTCGTTATACTTTCGAATATAATAAAGTTATGACTCATCATTGAAATATAAATACATATAAAGACATATTCATTGGCGCAATACTATTTGGATAATAATAGTAATCTTTATTCAAAATAGTGAACAAAAGCAATTTTAAAATTTCGTTTGTTGAGTTATTACATTTCGTCAAAGGTTCTCTAAAAATAAATTAATGGATTTGATTGTGATTGCGAAATGTAATACCCAGCTCATACAACGGAGAGGAACTCTCTCATGGCCCAACCTGATGTTATTAAAAAAAGTTAAAATAACAAGAAAAGAAAGAGAGATACAGAAATATATGTTTATAAAAGTTATTACCCATGTAAAGATACTCATAAATTTCAATTCAGTTACAATTCAACATACATACAATAAACATAACAACAGGTTAACAGTTTATGCTTTAACCCTTTACCTCATATATACGCGAAACAACGCACTTTCGCCAAGAAAATTTTGGACTTGTGAGAGGCTAAAAATGACCCCAGGTCGATCATAATGTAACGTGTAACCAATGCTGAAAAGCCTTTGACTCTATCTCAATCCCTTGAGAAGTTGCAGCACTTTGAAATAAATTTTGATGGAAACAATCGAGGCAAAATAGTGATTTTTGGCAATTTTGAGATGCCCCCTCGTTGCCATGGTAACAGGAAATTAAGGACTGAGCATGTTGTTACAAAGGCAATGGTCCAGTCAACATTTGTGCCAAGTTTGATTAATATTGAAGCATTTTTCATAGTTTCATAGCAGTTTGAACTTGTAACAGCAGGCTTTTCAGTGAAAACGGCCATTTTTCACAATGTGCTCATGGGGGAAAGGGTTAAAGAATCTTGATAACATATCAACACATATTACATATGGGCAAACAAACTGGCGCGGTTTATCAAGACAGGCATTGGATACATGGTTCAAACCTCAGACAGATACAATTTATCATACATACAATAAACATTGACAACAGGTTTATGTATTATAAAGAACATACAGTAGAACTTCGGTAAGTCGAAGTTGGAGGGACTTGCGTAAAAACTTCGACACATCGGGACTTCGACTCATGAATCGGTCTGAATTGCATAACAAAAATTCAACCCGTGGCTAGCCCTAATTATAAGATTTATAACATAACCTATTTCATGTTTTTCTTTCGTTCATTAATTTGATATTTTACATTATAAAATGATAAATGTGACATGTTAACTTTTCACAGCTAATGATTTGGACTCCCTGTTGACATATACAATGAAGTTACAAAAGGCGTAACAATACGAAAGGGCAATAACTAAACCAGCTTATAGTAAATATTTCGCGAGTGATTATCACGCGACACCGGGTCACGGAAGTACTCAAATGATAGTTCTTACTGTTTACATGTTCTTTCAAATACCGCTTGGGCAATTAAAATAGTAGTAATTAAAGCATTTTTTCACACATTTAAACGCATACAAAGGCTGTTTGAACACTCGGCTGTGTAATTTACACCTGTCACTAAAGTTGATCGGAAATCGTCTTCACGGCCAGAAAAGGTGTGAAAATGTCTCGAGATCGAAGGTGTCAAAATAACCGAATAACTTCGACTTATTTATGGTAAATTGTACTAGATTTATTCCATACGGACCACGAAAAAACTTCGACACATCGAAAAACTCGACACATAAAATCTCAACTCATAGATAGGTTTTTATAAGGAATATATAAGGGAAAAAATCGGGACTTTCATTTTACTTCGACACATCGAGAAAAATGACTAATCGAAGTTCGACTCATAGAAGTTCTACTGTATATAAAACCATGTTTGAAAAATAACGCTTGCCAAGAGTTCTTACAAGTCTATGCCAATAATACACGTTTTGAGTTAGGTGTTTTCGAACTTCTGGGGAGTTTACGTTTAACTTGTCGTGTTTTTCCGCCTGAGGTTGGTGTTCTTTTAACTGTTCTAGATCCTTTGGCGGACATCGTTGTGTTTATATTTAATTTTCCACTATCCGATAAGAACATTTTTTCTCTAATGTCCCTACATTCCTGGCTCATGCTTGACCATCGGTCAATGTCTATTTTGTGATGTAGAAACATACTGTCTAATTCGAAGTCACCCATACCGCGAATTGCACGACAACGCTCGATTACCTCCCCTGTCACAATGTCATTTAACAAATTAATGAATTTCGGTAAATCGCTGTGTTTCCATTGTGCTGCTGATTTCAGTAAGTGATTTGCGGACTCACATTTGTTGTTTGTCCACCCGCGCTTAAGTTTTCCTTTGTTTGATGGATCAATCACGAACGTTTTTAAAACGGGTACAAGTTTATCATTGAAATATGGCAGAAATGTTTTACCACCTGCATTGCTATCTAGTGACTGGATTGTTTCTTTCAGACGGTCCAGTCTATAATTGTAGGTGTTGATATCTTCAGTAAACGTCAGGCCGTCATCACCGTAAATGGCCTCGGTTATTTGTTGTCTAACGGGCTTCGAATACCCCACTTGATCTTTCAGATAAGTGTCCGTATTTTGTCGAAGATGTCGGGTACAAAGAGTATGAGTAGATTCAGGAAAACAACGTTCAATTGCGACTTTAAAGGAATTGTCATCATCGGATCCAATAACAAGGTTAATCAATTCGTCCTCAGATAAGTTATCAGCAATATCATGAAAAAATGATGACAGCGTTTTAGTCGATGAATTTGTATGAATGAAAATGGGTCCGAATGTTATTGGATGATGTCCGTTGCTTTCTCGAATGACAGATAAATCTTGATATACGGTTGGCGTAACATGAAAATCCCCCAAATTGTATGTCTTGTCTATACCCAGAACTGTTCTCCCTGTCCCACAAAAACGTTTTATGTCAGTTATTTGTTGATCGTTGCACAGAGTTATAACTGGGTCCTGGAGTCCCTTAATATGCTTAACACTATACACTAGGTCATGTGTCTTCACCATTTCTGCCAGGTTTATAATTTTATTGTCTGCCTTTGACAAAGCATTAGAGGACAGTTTGGTCTGCTGGTATTTAAAATTCCTTAGTTGTGTCGCGTTTCTTTGTTTTGAAAAGTCATCTTTTGTGCTCTTATTCATACCATTCATAACAGTTTTCACAGATTGCGTTTTAAGTTGACCTTTTAACTCACGTATTACACTAGGTTTTGTACGAATGTACGGTTTTTTGTATACAATAGATTTGCCGTGGGGTTTTCTTCCAGGAAATGTTCCTACATACTCCACTATAGCAATGTCTACTGATAATTCTGGCATTGACGACGGTATGTTTTCAATCCAGGTGCATTTCCTTCTAAATTGTTCAAGTCCCTTATCACTAGCACTCAAAGTATTGTATAAGCGTTTGATAATAAGCAGTTCCTCTCCAGACGGTTGGGGCTCTAGAGGTTCATATACTTTCTTTTTCTGTTTCTGTTTTTCAATACAATAAATCCCAGATCTATTTTGAATGGAGATAAGTTTACCTCCCTTATGAATAAACGTGAAAATGGGTGACGTACCATTTGCCCATGACCCACAGTCATCCCAGAATTCCACTCTCTTACCGTTTGACCTCCGTTCATAGTTCAATTTGTTATTAACTACATAATAATGGCCATCTTTTCTTCCTGCGGGAACTTCAGCTAACACTGTGTAAGGCCCACCCATTACTTTAATGAGTTCACCAATTTCCATGAATTTTGTTCCTAATGGACCAGGCTTAAACTTATTTTCACTCAGACTGTCAGAACTTTCATTATGATCACTAGTTGGTTCGACGGAAGAATTATCTGATAAATCATCACTTTCATCCACAAAGTTGTCACAATGTGCACCATCGGCCTCATCCTGTACATGATGAATAGCAACTTTAGTTTTCTGTTTCTCCTTCACGCTCGATCGATTAGTTGAGTTAAATTCCATCCCGTTTCCAGTGCTTTGATCCTCACATTCTTCATTGTCAGCAACATGCTGATGCTTACTCTGAGTTGTAACTGACATGATAAAGAAAATTTATATTTTTTAACAAACATATACATGTATTACATTATATACTTAAGTTAATCATAAATGACTTACTTAGAAATAAATGGCTTAAGATTCCCAGAGTTTAAATGGAAGATGAATTTTAAGGAAAATTATAATTTATTATTGACAGCTTAATGTAAACTGTTTAAACGTGAAATACTTATAGTCAAGACATATACTTTAATTATGATAATGATTAGTACCTTCAGTCTGCTGCTGTATCTCATTTGCGACATTGTAATTCTTCACTATTTCATCAATGACTGACTGATCTGAAAATAAGAGAAAAAAAACAAAAATATATCTAAAGATTTACCTGTTTTTTGTAGTTACATCATACCATATGTATTACACAAATTCCTATATTGATGAACAGCAGTTCAAAATATTACCACTTTATTATAGTTGTAGAGAGATTAAACAATGCAGCCGTCTGGTTTCTAAATCTATTTACTAATGATACTACAGAGAGGTGATGCCAGGTGAATTAAGGCAGGGCTTATTAGCTACTGGCTAATACTAGCTGATCAATAGTGATTCAATATATTACACACAATTTATTTCAAGGTCTCATAGTATATTTATTGAATAAAGAACAACTTGTTGGATATAAAGAGTCAGGATTGTTCAACACAGTTTCATTCTTACATCTGATTAATGATTATAAATAAATTATAATTCTGAATGAATTTGCGTCAAACTACAACAGTTACAACTAAAAAGAAGCTTACAGTTTTGACATGGAAATGAGCAACATATATATTAGTTTATGTATATAGAATAGATCGAAGCAGATATAATATAATTATATACATTAATTGTATACATATTTTTTCTTTTACCATTTTCTTCTACAGCAGATCTGTAAGTTGGCAAATCTACAGTCACTGTTGCAGTTCTTCCATCTGGGAATCTTAAAGTTAAATCTCTCAAACCATTGCTGGCCATATGGTAACTAAAATAAACAAGCAATTATCATAGTATTGCAAGCAATCCATAAGTCCCCTACCGGTAAGAGCCCAAGCAACATTCTGAAGGGCCATTGGCCATTCACTTATGTTTCTATTTTAAGTAAATTTGTTGAAAAAGTTCTTTAAAAGTGATCACAGTGAACAGACAGACAGATGGACTGAAGGATAGTCTAAAGTTATTTTTTAAACATCCCTGTTATCAAAATATAACATTTTAAAAGCAAAATTTAAAAAAAAGAGGAGATAACGATGTCATACATGATGTGAGTGTAACAAAGAACAATTAGTAATGAAGGTATGAATATTGAATATTTATTTTCAAATTGAAGTAAATGAAAGTTAAAAGAACAAATAGGAAAAATTAAAAGTTTAAGGAGGAGATAATTCTGGAAATATGGATGCTAGATTTATAAACCTTGTCATATTATAATGATGTGGGAGTTTGAAGAAAATTCTATCATGATTGAAGAAGTTGGAGTAAAAATTACCAATTTCTCAAAAAAAAAGTCTAAGTTCAAAAGGGGCAATAATTCTGGAAATAGTCTTGCTAGAGTATTGAAACACTCACAAATGTTGAGTGATAATAAGAAACATTTATATGAAGTTTGAAGTAGATACGTTCAGAAAAAAAGAAGTTATTAAAAAAACAATGTTTTTTTTCATGAAAATTTTAAGTTCAAGGGAGGTAATTCTGATAAATTTTGTGCTAGAGTTGTAAACTTTGTCACATATGATGTGGTTGATGACTAGCAACTTAAGTTTGAAGAAAATACCTTAAGAAATAAAGAACTTATAGTGAAAAAACTTAAAAACTAGAATCAGAAATCTTGAAATTCAGTCTATTTGTTGCCATAGCAACCAGAATTTTCAACACAGGAAGATAAGAAAAGGATGTGCATAATTTCCATACTGCCATCTACCCATATGTCAAGTTTCATAAAAATATTTTCAATACTTTTTGCATTATCACTGGATCCAGGTTATGTGTAAAATCTGCCATATTTTCAGTCTATTTGTTGCCATAGCAACCAGAATTTTCCGCATAGGAAAAAAAAGAAAAAGACGTGCATAATCTCCATACTGCCATCTATCCATATATCAAGTTTCATAAAAATATTTTCAGTACTTTTTGTGTTATCGCGGGATCCAGGTTATGTGTAAAATTTGCCATATTTTCAGTCTATTTGTTGCCATAGCAACCAGAATTTTCAACATAGGAAGAAAAGAAAAAGACGTGCATAATTTCCATACTGCCATCTATCCATATACCAAGTTTCATTAAAATATTTTCAGTACTTTTTGTGTTTAGCGGGATCCAGTTTTGTGGACGGATGGACGGACAGACAGACAGACAGACGGAGGGAGGATAAACCTGAAGTCCCCTCCGGTAAACCGGTAGGGGACTAATAAAAACAAAGATTTTTGTCATTGATTCATTTAGGAATAACAATAAATTTAATGCAGAGTATTGGGTCAGCTAAACAAGAGATGTTGGTAGGTACAGCATGCTAGACTATTCTCAGTCTTGATTGTAATACAAGAAACTAGGTAATGTAGAATCTTATAAGATAAACAAGAGCCACACCTGGGCAAACAACACTCAACTTGTTTTACTCTTCTTTTTTAAAAAAAACAACAACAAATAAACAGTTTAAACAAAACTTAGAAAAGAAAATTTAAGAAAAACAAGAGCTGTCGGTAGGACAGCACGCTCGACTTTTCTAAGTGCTTGATAGTAAAAGAGCCTTGATAATGTTAAATTTTTTAAGTTCACAAAAGGGCTAATTTTTTTTTATAAATTCATGTTATAGGCCTTAGAGAGAGTCTAATTATACAGTATTGGCTTGACTATTCGGAAGGTAATGTCACAAGGGTGTTTTATTGAGTATAATAATACTAATTACCTATGAATACATAAATTTGACAGAAAAGGTACAAAGGCTTGTTATTAAGATGTTTTATCAAGTAAATCACTGCTTTATTATTATGAATGCATAAAATTGTCCCAAAAAAGACACAAACCCTTCAGTAGTTATTGAGATAACAGCTTACAAGCAAAACTTTACCATGAATTTCTAAGTTGAAAAAGGGGAGAAAAATCAGCCTAAATGCAAGATAGAATTATGGATCTTTGTCAGTGACCTACAATTATGACCCTAAGTTCATATGTGAAGTTTTAAATAAATATCCTTAATAGTAATTAAGATATGAAAAACTTGCATGTAAACATTAACCAAGATACTAAGTAGAAAAGGGGATATGAATCAGCCTTAATGCTGAGTTATGGAACTTGTCAGTGACATACAATTATGACCCTCCAATTATGACCCTAAGTGCATGTGTAAAGTTTCAAGTAAATATCTTTGAAGACCTTTCACCAAAATTTCTAAGTTTGAAAGGGGCAAATAATTCTGCAAATTTTGCAGGCAGAGTTATGAAATTTTGCAAACTGATGTACATTGTTACTAAAAAAAAGTATTTTAAATTTCAATTGAATATCTCGAGCAATAATTGAGATATTTGACTTTACAAAAAAACTTTAACCAAAATTTCTAAGTTCCAAAGGGGCATAATTATGTCAATATTGTAGGCAGAGTTATCCAACTTGTCAATCTGATGTACCTTGTTACTATAAATAAATATTGTAAGTTTCAATTGAATATCTCAAGCAATAATTGAGATATTTGACTTTACAAAAACTTTAACCAAAATTTCTAAGTTAAAAAGGGGCATAATTCTGTCAATATTGTAGGCAGAGTTATCCAACTTGCCAAATTGATGTACCTTGTTACTATAAATAAGTATTGTAAGTTTCAATTGAATAACTCAAGCAATAATTGAGATATTTGACTTTAAAAAAAACTTTAACCAAAATTTCTAAGTTAAAAAGGGGCATAATTCTGTCAATATTGTAGACAGAGTTATCCAACTTGTCAATCTGATGTACCTTGTTACTATAAATAAGTATTGTAAGTTTCAATTGAATATCTCAAGTAATAATTGAGATATTTGACTTTACAAAAAACTTTAACCAACGCAGACGCGGACGCAGACGCCGGGGCGACTACAATAGCTCTCATATTCTTAAAATAGTCGAGCTAAAAACCCCCAAAGTTTCCCCTCCCTTTTTTAGTAGGTCTATCAAGTCATTCTTAACAGTCAAGGTCATTTGAAGGTAAAGGTCATATCTGAATTATTCAACATGTCTGTTTGGTCACAATTGTTGTTTTGTCAACATATGAATCAAACACATACATAAAAAATATATGAAAACTTAAAATTCAATACTTTGAACTTGACGGTCAAGGTTATTTAAAGCTCAAGGTTAAGGTCTATTCAACCATTTAAAAGTCTTGTACAATTTACAAACGCATATGAAGATAATCTATTGATCACTTACCAAGTTAAGTGGCCAATTATAGCAATAACCTTTGAAAATTCAATAATTTCACATTCAAGGTCAAGGTCATACATGAGTCAAGGCAATGTGAGTTTAATATGTATGAAGGTTCTGACCTAACTAATGTTTTGTTTTAAATATGAAGTAAATTCATTTACAAAAAAAAACACAAAGTAATAGCAAGTTATAGGAAAAACATAAAATTTGATTAATTTGACCTTGATGGTCAGCCAATTAAAGGTCAACGTCACATATAAATCATTTGATGTGCTTGTTTGGTAGGAAGTTGTTTTAACATATCCAACGTTTTATCCGTACAAAAATAAAATTTTGACAATTTAACAGAATTTTAATAATTTGACCTTGATTGTTAAGGTAATTTAAAGCTCAATGTCAATTCAATCTTTTAGAAAGTCTTTTTCAAATGCTTGTTTTGTTCCAGTATAAAGAAAATCAATGTATAATTTACCAAGTTACGGTCAATAATGCCAAAAAAATAATAATAATAAAACTGCCACAAAAAAAGAAGTGAAAATTCAGTAATTTAACCTTCAAGGTCAAGGTCAAAAATGATCTTAAGTAGGTCAATTTGAGCTTGATTTATTGCAAATAAGGTCTTAAACTAAATAATGTTGTGTCAATCCATTAATTAATAACAAAGTATGATCATAGTCAATTACAGCTAAAAAATAATATAGATAAATAAAATTTAAGAATTAAAAAGTCTTTCATGAGTGAACGTGAAGGTATACCAGGTTAACTTGAAAGTATACTGTATCCTTGTGTGCTCAAGTTTGAAAACAATCCGAACCAATACAACAAAGCAATAGCAAAAATCCATTTTACCTATAAGAAGGATGGTCAAGTAAAGAGAAGGGCGGAACTAAAAAAATATATACAAATATTTGAATAAGCAAAACAAGAAAAGCATTGATGCAAAGCATCAAAGGGCGACGCCAAAAGAATTTGATCCAGGTTTGCACCTAAAAACTTCAAAGATTTACTTTATAGGGAG